TCGCGCACAAAGCTATTAAATAAATCTTCCTGCGAACAAATATTCCGTTATTCTGTCACAAACCGAGCTTAACACGTAATGCTAAACAAGAGCATTTACATTGCGCGCGATTAATGTCACTCGGCGAGGCAAATTATGCGCGCTGCGCGAAAGCATGCACTCCAAATGCATCGAATCTCGATGTAACGATGCAGTGCTCGTCATTACGCCGTGACCCGAATTAGTATCCATCTAATACATATTAAATTACATCAAATGCATATTCGTAATCATCATTCCAACATCATAATACTGTAATATAGAAACATATGAACGCTAGTTATATCTAAAATTGCAAAAAAATTCACGACTAAAAATCTACATACATATATAAAGAGAGGAATTATTAAATCGCGAAATTAATTGCCACGTTTCGCCATAGGACATTATTTTCATCATTAAAAAGTCATTTCATGATGTACAGTATGACCGTATGCATTTGCCATATTTGTCATATTTATCATCATTTTTGAAATTTTCGTGATTTCGAGTCACAACGCATTTTTGCTTTAAAACAAAATCCAATAAATTGATGTATTAGATTCATCGTTATATATATATATCTCGTGAATAATACTTTCGATATAGAAAAGCGGGGTTTATCATCGATGTTATGGATATCCGGCAGATTTATTTTCATTCGTTAATCGCATTAATCGTAGCTCTGAACAATCAATTTCTCGCTGTTTCTGATTAAACGATCGATTTATCGTGTTATCTTATAACTCCCTTTCAGGATTTGTAGTTTTGTAGATGTCATATACTTTGAAACTAGGTTACAATCGAATCCGGGACTAATCACTGTAATCCGGATCTAATCTGGAGCCGAGCCGTACTGGCGGCAAGTGAATCGATGTTGTCAGGATTAATCAGAGATAATAATTGGAAACTACTTGTATCAAATGACAGATGTAAAGACAAATGAAAGAAACAATTGTACACTACAGATCCACGATACTTGGACACTTGCTGACATTCTTTTGCATTCTCTCTCTCTCTCTCTCTTTCTTTTGCGATTAAACTATAATTTTATATATAACTAATTATAAACTATAATTTTAATTTAGGACGAAATATAAATCTCTACGTAGAACACTCCTCATTTCGGTAACTTTGTAATTCTTTGTAAGTTTCAAAAAGTTTCTCGGATAGATGTGAGAGTTAGCAGAGCCATAATTCGTAAAATATAATTATAAAGAAGTGAAACATTTTGCATGTTACCCTAGAAAATAGGACATGTCATATTTTAAAAGTCTGAATCCACGCGAACTCATTGTATACACATGTTATCTTAACGTATCTTTTAAAAGGAAAGATCGGGATTAGCAAAAAATCTAGCGAAATAATTACAAAATGAATTTCGCTTTACGTTTCATGGATACTAGCAGTTTTAAACTTTTATCAAAACGGTGCTTTTGCTTCCAAACGTAACTTCATCAGTTTAAAATAATTAACAATTCAAGCGGTTTAAAATGATTAATAAATAACAGATTCATATTTTGTGTACGTGTATGAAGATTCGAAATTCACGTGTAAGTGAAGTAAATCCAACGTAGCTGCTTTTTTGTTCTCAAAATAATGGAAACATTGGAATCGACACGAGCAGGAATTAACGAGACGAAAAAATTTGATTACTTTAATAATAAAAAAAAAATATCACTCGTGCGAGAGGAGCTCACGTTCTTCGCGTATTCGGACGACGTGCGATTACGCCCGCACTGTATAATTACACCTGATGTTGGGCACACAGCGTGAGACTCTCTTTTGCGCCATGTTTTTGTTAGCCCGAGACGAAACGTGAAGGGAAATAAGAGGAGGAACACAGAGAGAAGAGAGGAACGTGATGGAATGAAGCGGGCGAGATTTTCACAGAAATCACCTCGCGTGTCTAAAAGTTTGCGTGCAAAAATAGGTTATACACATATTTCGTTATGACGTATTGCTTAACAATCTAACTTTGTCCGACCTCGCATTACGCGCGCCTCATTCACCTGGTCGACGAGCGCGGATTAATTAGCCAGACAAGATTAATTAATTACGACGACCTCGACGAGTTCGACCTAGAGGGGGTGCAAGAGGGAGAGGGGGTCCCGCTTTAGTGTTGTGTGTTCGACATCAAATTGAGCAAGGGGTTTATTTTCATAATCAAAGCTCCGGGGTTCTAATTAGACCTATTTATGTATCGCAATGCAAAATGTATAATAACGTATATCTATTATATCTATTATATCTATTATATCTGTTACATAAACTTTATATACTGTTCATTAATCGTGTCTCTCATATTTTATTAAATAAAATTTTCCAGGTTTTTTAATATAAAATAAAATATTTTTTTTTTAATAAAAGAAATCAAAATTTAACTTTGAAACATATAAGTAATATAACGTCGCGAAAATGTACAAAAATATTTTTGAATGCGACGTCAACAACAGAATGCAGAGTTCATTCATCCTTTAGCGAATCTGGAGGATAAAGTTAAGAGCTATCAGAGGCGAACTTGTCGACATGCTCGCGCACACAAATTGGATTTGCTTCGTACGTATGTAAGAACCTCGATAATAAGGGAGTGAAATTTCTAACATCGCAGCTACCTTCCACGTTATTGTGTACCTGTATATTATATTCCGTCTGTTGAAGAATAGAGATCTTGACCTGTCAATTGTAAACGCGTAGCGCGCCACAATTAATAAAGTATCAGATAATTATAGCAATTTAACACAAAGTGGAAAATGTAAACTCTCGTACGATTCTAACGTAAATCCAATTAATATTGTTTCATGCGATTAATAAGGGAAAAGCACAAGCATTGCGTTTATAGCAAATTGAACATTGTATCCAACTTAAGCACAAAGTTCGGCGGCAAAGCGAATACTAAGGACTTTTGGAAGGATCTGTCAGGCTGTTCGTACGATAATGGAGCAGCGAAATTTCCCTCGCATCGCGCAGCTACCTTTGCAGTAAATAATCTTCCACTGAGTCGACGACGACTTCCAAACGGGTAATGATATTCCGAGTACGGTACATATCGAGGCTCTTATGTACGTATGTACGTACAAAGCATTGACGTACTTCACATTGCGTTCCCTTAATTTTAGTTTGCGATACACCGCGATATTCGAGAGTTTTCCCCGACATTTTCCCTCGTATTTCAGAGAAATGTTAGATGTCGAATATTACAAATAACACTTGAATACTTCTAATTAAATTCGTACTATCTAATTAAATTCCTAAGTTGATTAATTCATTATACATAATGCACTTTGCAATTTAAAATGATTCTCGAGTATTATTTTTTTTAATTTTTTATATTTTAATTTTTTATAATTTAATGATATTATTAATTTTTAATAATATGTAACTTTCGAATATATTTCTTAACTTTCGATTTGCTTAAGCTTACAATCTGCGCGTATCAAATTGCAAAATCTGAATAATCTATCATCTACCTTTATTATACTTAACAATATTGCAAAGATTAACGACAGGAAATAATCTGATGGAGATAGAAAAAAAATTGTTACATGATAAATGTTCTTCCTGAGGTCAGACCGCAGGGTTGGCCGTTATTTAAATGCACGTTTGAAAAACTACGTCTTTCCTGGTGTCGACGAGAATAATAAAAGGGGTTTGTGTGTGTGTGTGTGGGGAGACGCGTGGAAACGCGCCAAAGTTTGTTCGATTCAACAGGAATACCCGCTGATACGTTTATAAGCCTCGGCAAAAGTTAGAGTAAAACGTAATTAAGCGGTAAAACGTTGAAGAGCACTCGATGAAATTATACAACAATTGTCGGCATACAACAACATAATTCTCAATTAAAATCTCTTTCATGTGATGTGGAAGTTAATTACCAGAATCGTAGCTTCGCATGGTAAAAGTTTTGCATTAAATTTCCATTTATGTATTTTCCGCTCGCATTCGCATTTACGAGATTTTGTGCAAAAACTATCATTTTACCTACAAGAAATATTTTAAAAAATATAGCCGAAGTTATTTTTATTTCATAAAAACAACGCAATATCAAAAGTGCATCTCGCATTTAATTAATAATAAAATAAATAGCACAGAAATATACTTTTTGCGTCTTTCGCTGAGAAAAAATTTAATGTCAAAAATATCCAAATTGCTAAAAATAAAATTTGCTCGAATCAAAAAGTTTAGCGGATTAACTCTTGTTAAATATTTCGTTTTTCTAATGCTTCATCGATCCGCGTCAGTTCGCGTTACATCTCTGACTATGAAAATACTCTGCCTTGACGATGACCCTTCAGTTAAACGCAGCAGAAAATTCTCGTGTCAAGTGCATTTTTTAAAATTTTGGTTAAATTTACTGCCACATTTTTTCGTACAAACGCGGTATTTAAAGTTTCGCAATCAGCTGCTTCGGACGCGAAATCTTTTCCTTTAAAAATGGTGTGTCACTTTAAAGATAGAACCGCTTTTTCGATCTCTTTTTGCGATAAATAATAACAGCGAACAAATCAATAAAGTATTTGGTTCAGATAAAAAATCGTACTTTCATCAATATTCAAATTTTCACATGATATCGAATATAATGTGATAATGATAACATATATATATGTTGCATGCTGTTCGTAAATTCGACTTTCTTTACAAAAAGTTAAAACTTTTTGCGAAAAGATTAATTGCAAAAAATCTGCAATGTATATAAATACTATAATAATTAAATACATTAATAACTTTACATTTATTTTTACCGATTTCAATTAATTTTCGTATTTCTTGATTTTTGTATTTCAAGAGGGAATATTTCCAGCAATTTAAAATATGTACGTGAGTATAAATGTAATACAAATACATATACGGGTATCGCTATGTGAAGTTTTTGAAATAAAAAAAAAAAATAAACTATCAATGACAACGGCACGTTTTCAATGAAACGTATATCCAGAGAGATTCAATTGAAAACAATACGCGTATATACGACGATCTCATACCTGGTGTTAAACCCCGCGTGAGGATCCGAGAACGATCGTCGATGGTGACAACACTATCACTGGATCCTCGGGATCCCGCGGAATCCCGAAATCTCCAAAAATCGTAGCACACACGCGACCGGCTCCGATACCGGGGGATCGAAGGGAAAACGCACGTCGTCGCACACTCGCGCGAGCGAGCGTCGCGCGAATCTCGTTCGCGAATTCGCGAGCGAAGAAAGTGGCAAATAAAGAGAGGGACGGAAGAAGGAAAGAGAGAGAGAGAGAGAAGGAGAGAGAGAAAGCGCGCGTTAACAGCGAGAAGAGCCGAGGAACTTGAAGCGGACGCTCTCTCGTCGCGAGGGAGTCGCGGCACGATACTGACGAGTCGCCCGTGGGGCGCGCGAATCTCATGCCGCCAGGATCTCCATCCCCACCGGCGCGGCGCAGCCGAAGAGCGAAGCGGTCGTCCGACATTCAGGGCCGGTTGATCAACCAGCGGGATCGTCGTCACGATCCCGAAACTGGCGAACTGCGTCTCGGGGTTGAGCATCAATCCCTCCGCGACATCCCCTGCACCAGACAGGTAGCGACTTAACCGCGACTGTCGGATCAAACTGCCGCATTCCGCTAGTTTCAATTGCTCATAGAACACGTAATCGTCTTCTGATAATAAATAGATCCGCTAACGTCTGATTTGATATAATTCGATAATAATTTTAATAAGTTAATAATTTTATATATAAGGTTTTTTTTTTTTTTCAAAATTGTGAACGATCAAACATTTGTCCATGTTCTATGAGATGTTATGTAATATACACGTATAAGTACACACGGAAATTTTATTATCATTATAAAAAATATATATAAAAATAAGTTTTAATTTTCCATTTCGAAATACCTTCATTTCTAATGCAAGACTGACATCATTGAATTTAATATCCTACGAATTTTATATCTATCTTGCTTTAGTTTAATGAATGCATCACTGAATCTGTTTATCAGTTCTTGCTGCGAATCAACTCTTGTATGGTATACTATCGTTTTCACACATTTCCTCACGGATAAAATACTACCGATGTAAGATGGTGATCTTGGCTGAACAATTGGTCCTTCTTAGATAAATATCGCCGACCTATTCTTACACAGCTATTCATATTTGATATCCTCGTTATTATAACGTTTTAATGAAGCGTTTCGGGATCTATATAATTATATAACATTATTTTATTTCTGTTCATGGAACATACTGACGAAGTTTAATCGTTTAATTTTGAAATATCCCGTATAAAAGAGTCGGTTTATTCTCTTATAACAGCATATTTCAATTTTTGCGAAATATTCTCATTATTATATCTTATTTTTTATTCTCTAGATTTTTCGTGCCTTCTAACTGATTAGATGGGCGGTGTGAACGAACATGGCAAACCCAAATGGATGAGCTAAGATCAAGAGAATTAGAAGTTGCGCGATCGTGGCGAAAAAACTAGGCAATCTTTAGGACTAAAGTAGGAAGGTAATAGAGAAAGTTGTGTGGTCGCCCGTAAAAAAATACAGGCATATTATTTGGAATTACTTAAACCATCTTCAAGTAACTATTAAGGTGGAATAACCGACTTAAACGTTAAACAAATCGAATTAATTATTTCAATGATACCATGTCTTGTACAAGATGTGTAAGTAATGGCAAAAATATAATTAAGTAAGTATAATGCTAAAAAAAGGTAGAAAATTATGAAATAGGTAATTAAAAGAATTCGATACAGAAATATCGATTGTATAGACGTCTATATCGCAAGCGTAATTAGCGTCAATTTTACTTTGTCTCAAGTGACCAATTAAAAGCAAATCTTAGAACACCAGTAATGCCATTAATTATGTGTGTGTGTGTGTGTGTATATATATATATATATATACATATATTATATACACACACATAATTAATTATACCATTATATATATATATATATATATATATATATATATATATATGCATATAATACTTTGAGCATATTTTATATACAATACTATCCCTAACCATTCTAGAAAAAAAACTCAATATATTAATATCCCCAAAAAAATTCGATATCGCGAAAATGTAATAATAATATTTTTACATTTTCGCGATATCGAATTTTTTGTGAATATTCTGTGGATATTCTACAATTAAATTAACTGTCAATATTTTCTCATGATATCAATTCGAAGCTGAACCGAGTTATTAAAAGATATTTTTCCATTCTACATAAATATTAAATTACCGGAGCAATAATATTAAATTCGTACGAATATATACGTATATTGTGCAACCGAAGTTCTAGCATTGAGTATGTTGTGAATCGTTCGCTCGTATTTGTCTCAAGTTTCTGAAACTACCCTCCGGATATTATAAGTCTTGCTTCCGCAAATTTAATGCACTGTACGTAATGCCAAATACTCTTAAACATGCAAGATAAATATTTATTCGCTGATAAAACACCGTGTCGTAATACTTGTTCTTAGCGTATTTGTGCCATGGCAATTTATGTTTCATCGACTATATCTAGCCGTGATGCTCCATTCAGGACGTACGTTCCATCGCTATGAACTTTCGATGTCACGATTCTCTGATTCTTATCTAGGATTCTTCTCCAGGATTTTGCCGTTACGTATCGTCATTATTACATACACAAGTATAAAATACAAACATACAAGTTGATTCAAATTTAATTTTTAATCCTGTCATTATAATAATAAAAAAAATGACGGTGCGAAAGGCTTAAATTGGAAAGTATGGATCGAGATATAAAATTCCACAAAAAATGTGAAATAATAAAATGACTATGTAATAAATAATTAATTCGAAGTATCAAACGTCTAAGGAAGAGAGAAAATACTAGAGGCGGAAGAGGGAAATGGAAGTGGAAAGAAATCATATTCTTTTCAATCCTCATCATTCTGTTCGTGATTGAAGCGCTAGTCTCTTTCCAATCTAATCTGCTTTCTCCTCTTCTTATTGTCAGTAATATAGATTAACTTTAACTTCGCTAACCCGCTAGGATTCAACTTCGTCGTCTTATACAATCGCATAATACGCTTATAAAATGAGTAAAGTAAAATCTTTATCAATAAATAGAGAAGTCATAAAGTTTCATCGCTTCGAAATTCGATTCGGATATGACGCTTCTAAAGATTGATGCAAATCTTACGAAACACTTTACTATCTCGGACAACGCGCACTTTCTCTCGCGGTTCGCCGAGCAAAGGAGGCCAATATAAAAAGGGGCCCGTATTCTCTCGTTTCAATGTCAAGGCATGAATAGTCTCAATGCAGGAACGCAATAGTTGAATAATCGAAATAAAAAGGCAGGTTAAAATCTCAAAATTTACAATCACGTACATCAGATTTTCCTTCCTCTTATCTGATCGTCTTTCTACATTTACTGCGGGATCTCGATTTAATTTCCGAAATTAAATATCGAAAAATCTCTCGTAGAATTGCAAGAGAGAAAAGATGGTAAATCAAGTTTTTTTCTCATTCTTGGGAAAAGCTATTCAGTCTTTAGATACAGCGAAGAATCGTAGCGGAAGCACGTCGAGGGCCTCGAGGCGATGCGATGTATCATACGGCTGGATACTCCGGAACATTTTACGAATTGCCGCGAGGGTCACGTCGCATCGTGAGTCGTACTCGTAGCCATCGAGGAATCGCAAAAGTAATCGCGGCCCCGGCATGGCTTTCGATCGTGATGCGACGTACACCGATAGCACACCGTAGTAACGTTGCTACCCGGTCTGTTGAATGAGACACGGTCTCCCACGCCTCTCCATTCGTCATGCTCCGGAGAGGAAGTCGCTGCTCCTCTCGCAGCGCACGAGGAGAGAAAGAGAGAGGCGATCTACGAGCGCATCCTTTTACCGATACGGACGCGTCTCGCAGGTATAAACTCACTTTCATCTGCGATATTAACCGAGCCGAGGCCTGGCGCGATTCGCCTTTCGATTCGAGTTGCCTGCGCGAATAGTCCTCGCATAAACGTCCTCGGACGATTAACCCGAGGGCGTTTGACACCGGGGCGAGCCAGCAGGAAAAGTGGAATCTTCCAGTGCCTGCTCGGTGAAATGTTATTGAGACCTCCTCTACATGCTCCACCATAATCATTATAATCTAAGATTCAACAAGATTTCATCTGAATCTGAGAAACGACGATAAAATATATTTTCGCGAAGTGAAAGATGCATCCGTGCTCGCAGGAGTTTCTTCTACTCGAAAAAAAAAGGTTGTCTCTTTTATATCATGTCCTCGACGTTCAATCCCATGTTACGTAAAGGTGCAACTGATTGGACGGTATAAAAGTCTGCTCTGGGAATTTAATATCTATATAGTCGAAACCGCTTTACACTCGATTGGTTAACTCATTTGCATAATACGACTCAATTTTCGATATTAAAGATATGCTTTTTTGTATTTTAACGCCGAACCACCGTGACTACAATCTGCGAATGCGACGATGATACGAGAGCCAATATGTTATTCCCTTGTAATCCCATATTGTACTTTTCTCCTTGTAATACATGCAAACGAAACGACGTTGCCATTGTCTCCCGATTCACCTCTTCGTGCCGGTAATAACAGCAGCACGTGTTGGGGAAAAAGAAAGGGGAAAATACACCCCGGTGAAAAAGTCCAATTACAGAGGTATCCGAGCTGCTCGCGGCAAGCACTTTTCTTGAATAACGTATGCGGACGTGGTTACTGCAACGTAACAACGAAGCCGGGTACTTAAAAGACATTGAAGTACGAGAAAGGATATTTTGAAACATATATCTTCTTATGTACAACACTGGGCTAAACAAGAAAACTGTGGAACTATGAGAATTGGAAATCGAATCAGTGGATGATTTTTTTTTTACAAAATTGATATTATTTTCTCGATATGACAGTCAAATGAATGAAACACAACTGATATTTAATAACTAAACCAATAAACACTTTTCGATTAAATTAAAACTTCTTTCAGTGATTAATTGAAATATATAACTCGCGGTGCAAAATTCAGTAATGATGTATTCGATAACGACTCTCGCGTTCGCTGCATTTTAATTTAATATTTTTAAAAACTACATGCGGTCATTATTGCATATTTCTATAAAAAGATAAAAACATAATTATCAAATATTGCTTTTGATATTATTGGAAGGATACAGCAATTAATTTGTATATAATAAAGTTGCCAATATATATGATATGCAAATTATACCGTTAAAGTTATATTAATTCGAAATTTTGATATAATATAAAATCGATATATAAATATGTTGTGTTTACCGTTTTCAATATTATTAAAAAATATTATTACTATTTATTTCATATGCTATCGATATACATTAAATACATATCGATTAAAAT